TGTATGGCCTGTACTTTGCTTTTGGGGTGATTGTAAAACAATTCAACAACTTTATTTAAAAATTAAAATATTGTTTATTTTAGTATCTTATTCTTTGTAATTTTAATAAATAACATAAAATGTTTGCAACATAACATCATTTTTCACTATAATTCAGCTATGAATAATGTGGTTTATAGGATCTTTTGACTCGCCGTCTTTCTGCTTCCTGTCTATGGAATTACAGCTTAAGTCTATAGCTATATGTTAATATAGGGCTAATGGCATGTTATTTTATAAATAAAGTTAATCCTATGGGACTAATGTTTAGTCTATGACATAGATTTATATTGGATAATGCTAAGTTTATGGCAATGTTACGTTTATGGGTAATGTCAAATTTATGGGGCTAATGCTAATCCTATGGGCATATAAATAAATAACTGAATAAAACATTAGTGTTTTAATCAAAATTGTTGACATAAATATTGTAACGATTATATGCCGCCCGAGTTCTGATGAGGCCCTCAGCAGTCGACTACTACACGTCTCGGGGCAACATCCAATCGTCATCCTCTTATCTTTTTCTAATTTCATTATTTATAATAGAGTGTCTTTACCTTTCTGGACGTTCGATGTTTAAACTTAGCTTTTGCCGGTCCTGGTGGTCAATCTTAATCGCGGTGGCTTCTGGTTTCTTGAGTGATAGGCTTAGTTTGATTTTCAACGAACAAACGTTTTATTGATAGTGTTTAATATAAACTTGATACAATTAGATGTAGATAGTAATAGAGGATTAAGTGGTAAGTAATGAGCCGTAGTAGTCTTCTTCCAGAGCCACAGATTAAGGTCTACGAGTCGAGAACATGAAGGAGAGGGTCCCGATTTGGGTACAGCACAGACTTAAATAGGGGTTGCAAGTGTATTTTCAGGGTTGGACACACCTACAGTTACTGGGCAGGGTTTAGACTGTCAGACTCGCAATTGAGTTATATAATTGGTCAAATCTGATCAAAACGGGTGTGGACACATTAAAGGTACTGTAACAGAATAAGAGTACTGCAACAGTATCGGGCACAGTATCGAAGTAGAGTAACATAATCTGAGTACAGTAACCGGCACTGGGTACAGTAACAGTTTCAGAGTACTGTGCTAATTATCTGCCACGAGCTGAAGGCGGACCTGAATACTCATTGGCTATAGACTTAAGTGCGTAGATAGTCTATGCTATGAGATAGATATATCAACTGAGTTATAGGGTCAATTAATAGGGTATGAACTAAATACCCTTGCAATATATAGATGCTTTTAAATTTATATCTTTATTTATATCTAATAACTTATGTGACGATATTTATTAATCTTATTACTTAATTGTAAAATTTAATTATAAAATCAATCAGTAAATTTTAGATAGTACCCTGGTTACAGTATAAAATAATATTCTAGCATTTAGCTTTTAAAATAATTTACTAAAATTTTGTAATAAATAAAAATAAAATATATCATTAACTTATTGATTATGTAAAGTCGCCGGTTCTGCTCCCATCCCACGCACAATGCGGTCAACCATACGGTATATAAACTCGTAGTCGTCCGCTGTATGGCCGGTACATTGCTGTTGGGATGAACAACCTTGATTGAAACTGAAAAAACAACAAATTTATTTAAAATTAAGATATTGTTTATTTTAGTATCTTATTCTTTGTAATTTTAATGAATAACATAAAATGTTTGCAGCATAGCATCATTTTTCACCATAATTCAGCTATGAATAATTTGGTGTATAGGATCGTTCGACTCGCCCTCCCTCTGCCCCCTGTCTATGGGATTTAACATGGGATTACAGCTTAAGTCTATAGCTATACATTAATATGGGGCTAATGGCATATTATTTTATAGGTAAAGTTAATCCTATGAAACTAATGTTAAGTCTATGAAATAGGCTTAAATTGGATAATGCTAAGTTTATGGCAATGTTATGTCTATGGGCAATGTCAAATTTATGGGACTAATGCTAATCCTATGGGCAATATTGAATCTATGGCAAGTTTATAGGACTCATATTAAATCTGTAGATAATGCAACTCTATTCTCTAAGCATTACCCACTGTGTGATCCTTGATTATTTTGCAATTAAATTTTTCAAATATTTATTAATCAACCATAATAGTAAATTACACGTACGGTCTGCGCATATAGTAAATACCATTTGCATTGACCAGAGGTTATGTGACCCAAATTCAGCCAAACATATTGCCTGTAAATATTGTGAGTTATAAACAATTACTGCTAAAATATCAAGTTATACAAACCTGATTACAAAGTGAAACAACCTGGTTACAATTATCTACAGTCAAATCCTCCTGTTGTCCGTTAAAGTGGGCGCTGAATGTATACGGGATTTGTCTGAAGTGAAAGCCACTGCACGACAACTCCATGGGATGGGAGACAGCATTGAGTGATAGACCAGTCAATTGGTTCATACCATTGGACACACATTTCACGCTTTTAGATACGGTTACAGTTGTGTTGACAAACGGTGTAAATGCTAGCGAGTAAATAAACAACGACAAAACAATTTACAAATTATTATATATATTATATTTATATATATTATGTAAATAGTTTTGAATTGTTTGGCACTAATGCAGTGAATGAAAGCGCAGTCGAGTGGTTGTTATTGCAATTAACTTGATTTTATTAGTGATCACTTGGAATATAAAATACAAATTCATTGATTAAATGATTGAAAAAACAATTGAAATTAAATGCATAAAACAATTGAATTGAAAGGATGGCACACAAGACTTGTGTATAGAATATGCTGTGTATAAGGCATAGGAATAAAGGCATAAAGTGATGGAAGTGTTTGGGACTTAAATAGTCCATGAATTGTAAGTTGGGGTCAGTTTGACCCCAATGTATGTATGTATGGTGTGGTGTGTATTGTGTGCACAATTATTTATGGTATCTGTCGGTAGTGTTTGTGTTGAACATAAAGTGCTATATATTGAGGTTAAGATAATTGAGACAATACTTGAAATTCAAATGAAAGTGTGTTTCACAGATGTTTTGAAATGTGAATTAATGTGAAAAGTGGTGACAAAAATAAAGACAATGTGTTGGCAATTAGGGACACAATTCTCGGTATGGATAGGGTATGGGTGGATAGGGTATGGGTGGATATGGTATGGGCGTTAGGCTATGGCTATACCTTTATAATTATATAAAGGGGTAGTCAAGTTATCTTGACGCTCGCGTTTCGGCCATTACTCCTAAAGTATAAGAGATAATTAGATTCTGTAAAATGGATATAATAGAGAAATATCGGGGAAATTTTTTGTATATTTCATAAATTTATTTTGGTCACGTGGTATACAAAATATGGGACAATTCGGAATGGTCATATTACAGGTCAAACCACAAGAAATATGGACATGGTTTAAATGTATGATTTATAGAGGGATAAGAGCTGTATTATATAAAGAAAGAATTATTAAAATTCAATTGCAGGTTTTCACATAGCAGCTTAACAAACTAGGCCAATTTTACATGTTAACCTATAGGGATGAAAAATAATATTGTATTTTAATATAATTGATTATATTTTTGAAAACTACATTCAATGTTGATAACGTGAGTAAAAGAAATTTTTAAAAAATTGCATTCCAAAGACAAAATATTTTAAATTGAAATATTAAGTTTTAGCCAAAAAACTCAATATTTTCAATATTTCAATTTAAGATATTTTGTTTTTGAAATGAAATTTTTCAAAAATTTATTTTACTCACATTATCAGCATTGAATGTAGTTTTTAAAAATACAATCAATTATATTAAAATACAATATTATTTTTCATCCCCATAGGTTAACATGTAAAATTGGCCTAGTTTGTTAAGCTGCTATGTGAAAACCTGCAATTGAATGTTAATAATTCTATCTTTATATAATACAGCTCTTATTCCTCTATAAATCATACATTAAAACCATGTCCATATTTCTTATGGTTTGACCTGTAATATCACCATTCCGAATTGTCCCATATTTTGTATACCACGTGATCAAAATAAATTTATGAAATATACAAAAAATTTCCCCGATATTTCTCTATTATATCCATTTTACAGAATCTAATTATCTCTTATACTTTAGGAGTAATGGCCGAAACGCGAGCGTCAAGATTACTTGACTGCCCCTTTATATCTATGAGTTATGTTTGTATAATATAAAATTATTCCCATTAAAAACTATAATTATTTAATTGTGATGTTTACGCATAACATGACAACGCAAATCACCAGATGTAACAAAGCGTTGATTACAGTTATTATGAATACATTTATGGCTTTTTATATTCAGATGTCATTTCAATGATTGTAATAAAACTTTTCGTGCAAAAACTGATTTTACAATACATATGAAAAGACATCTGAATATAAAAAGCCATAAATGTATTCATAATAACTGTAATCAACGCTTTGTTACATCTGGTGATTTGCGTTGTCATGTTATGCGTAAACATCACAATTAAATAATTATAGTTTTTAAATGTAAATGAAATTTAAAAAATATGCATGATATATTAAATAAAAATACTTTCCATTAAACAATAATGTTATTAATATTTCTCTACTTAAAAATATAGGTAAAATGTGTTTATAATAAAATGTCTGGCAAATTGATAATAATACAAACTAAATATGTTAATTAATTTTACATTATACTAATTTGATCTAGGAATAATAATAAATCGCCTTAACAGATTTTATTAGTAGCTTTTGTTTACAAATTAGTTGTGTTGAATTATACGGTAGTACTATTTCATACAAGGAAATAAACTGGATGAAATTTTGGTTATCACACTATTAACTTCTTAAACATAATCTTTGTGTAATATTATCATGTGTATATCGTCTCATATAATTTAACAATAATAATCAAATGTTATTTTATTAAATAAAATATTTTACTTTTACAAAACAATAATTAAATTTTATGAAGTTTGTTGTTCAATAAATAATAATCATATATGATTTGTTTATTATCTAATTGATTGAGTTAGAAGTACAGTGTAGTTGAGAACAAATGTAAAAATCTAACAAAAATAAAAATTAGATACAATTAGTTTTATATTGAAAATAAAGGTAAAAATATAATACTAACGGAAATAAGTGTTGACTTATTAATGGCCGCAAACCCACCGATAGTGAAGCCAACGGTCGGCGGATTTCTTAACGCATTGCCGAATAAAACCAATTCCTTGTACTCCGAGTCCGACAAATGACTGCCGGATATTGTATTCAAAGCGGCGCTTATTTTACCCACATTTACACCAATTCGGCCACACATTAGACAAGAGACCATCATTTCGACAATGAATGACCCTGTTGCCATTGACCACAATAATAATATATCAGCTATGTCTGAGTGAAATTGTGATTCCAGTACTATTGCCACATAGATTTGTATTAACGCCGCATATATTGTGTTAATTGTGTTTAATATTAACACATATTTGAAACTTTCGTCCAATTCTGTTAGTATTTCACATATGTTTACGAATTGTTTCTTGTTTTCTGTGATTTCCGTTAATTTACTTCTCAATAGAAATATTCCTTCAAATTCTGAGAGA